TTATTTAGAAAAAAACAAAAATAACGTGTATATATATATTCATATATTTAATAAGTTTCAATAGAAAAAAAACGAAATTATAAGACAAATAAAATAGTTGATTGATGATTTATCTTTTTTGAATAAGCATATATCCAGGATGTGTAGGTTGCTGTGCAATATCCCATCTTGTTTGTAATTCTTCTAATGTTTTCGTTCCATTAGCACGTTTAAATGAATAATTTAAAATTAATTTTTCAATAATTATTTCCATTTCAATTTTAGCTAACCATCGTCCAACACATTCTTTAGGTCCAATACCAAATGGAAGAAAAACATTTTTTTCATTATTTGTATTTGATAAATCTTTATCTTCAACATTAATTAAATTAAATTGATTACCTAATAAAAAATATTCATTTTTTCTATGCATATCAACTAAATTAACAATTATATTTGTTTCTTTTTTAATTTGAATATTATTATAAATATCATCATTAATAGCACATCTCATTATAACAGGACCAACTGGTTTAAAACGCATTGATTCTTTTAAACCATTTGTTAGAGTTTGATAAGAATTATCTTTTAATTCTTTTAATAATTTTTCTTCTAATTCATTTCGATCAGAAAGTGCAAGAAGAAAATAAAACATTGTAACAGATGATGTATCTGTACCAGCAATTAACATTTCTAATATACATTGATTCATTTCTTCTTTTGTTATTTGTTGATTATTAAGAGCATTTAATAATGAATTAATAAATAAACAATTATTATTCATATCTCGTTTCGATAGTATTTCATTAACAACATCATTTAATTGTTTTATTGATTTTTGATGTTTATTTGTTTCATTTTCATCATAAAATTGAGTTGGTTTTAATAAAAAATATTCCCATGCTTTAAAATATTCTACAATTGAATTAACATAATATTTTGTTTTTTCAATTGAAATTGTTCCAATAGGTAAACCAAGAAATAAATGACATGTTATTGTAAATGTTATTGAACGTAAAAAATCCATTATATCAATTATATTTATTTGAATTTCATATTTTTCCAGATATTTTAATATATAATCAGTAGCATCATTTGAAATATATTTTGCATCATCTAATAATTTATTATTTAAAGCTTTTTGAAAAAAATTTAAGCGTTGATATTTCCATCGTTGAATATTTCTATTCCAAATAATTCCTTTATTTTTCATTCCTAAATATTCTAAACCTAATGAATTACCAAATCTTAATGTATAATTTTTTCCATTACGTCTTAATATATAATCAGCAAAATCTGGATTTGATATTATTATTGTTGGTTGATTAAAAAGATTTACTTGAACAATATCACCATATTTTGATGTATAATATTGAGAGGCTAATGGTACTGTTAATTCAATATATCGAAATGATTCAGGAAAAAAAACTTTTAATAAGTTGTTTCGAAGGTTTTTATTTGATATTTTCAATACTATATCAAAAAAATAATTCGGTAGATTTATGAAATGTTTTGGGCCAGGAAATATTTTCTTTTCAGTAGAATAACGTAATAGTATATAAATTATTATAATAAAGATAAATAGTAACGTAGTTGCGTCGAGCATGAATATAAGTTAATTGTTAATCCGAAAGCAATTAACTATTTACTGATATTATAATAACAAAAATGTAGTTAAAGATTTCTTTTTAAAAACTTACTTTGGGTTTTTTCCCAGACATTGTCCTAAACATTATCGTCTTTTTTTTCTTTTCTTATCTATTCATATATTTAAAACTCGTTAAAAACAATATTCTCAACCTGGACGGGTATATCTTGTATTGTACTTAATAATACTTGACATATCCAGTCTACAAATAATATTTGAGGATGTCGAATATATATGGGCTTTGTAAGTTGAAACAATTTATAAACAATTCAGATTATCAAGAAATGATATACACCATTTTGTAATTTCATCAGACAGAAGAGTTTGATCTGTTTGTTGTGTCAATAAAATAAAACGGACGAAAGGATCTTTCAAGATAACAATTAAACTAAAGAAAAAGATAAACATTGTTTTTTGAAAAAGGTTAGTCAGTATCTTCGTTTTAATCTCAAATATAAGCAACAACATCCATTAGTTTCTTTCATAGATATTTATAAAAGGTTTATCAATTCAAATTCAATAATAAATTTTACTCACTTAAGGATATGAGTGTGTGGGTGATTGTGTGTCAGTTGGCATGAATGGATGTGGTGTGAGGTGTGGGGTGTGGGTGTAAGTGTGGGTGGGTATTGTTCCTTTAAATTTCAACCAACCACACCCACAGGTAATTTGAATATATGAGTATAAATTCAGATACTTGAATTAATACAAAGAAAAGCATCTAACAAAAGAAACAATCTTTCATTTCACTCATGTCAACTGCTGATACAGCAAATATAAATTCATTCAGTAATGTTTTCCGTCCGATGAATTATTCAGCTATTTTGTCCAAACATGAAAACCGTTTCTCATCCTTGCCTTGACATAGTTTTTGTAGCTTTTTGTATCTGGTATTCCTTATTCAGATTAATTAGACCCCGACTATTGACACTTATACAACAAATCCTAACTCTTTGAAGCAGTATTCTGCAGACAACCCAGTGCAGCAGCTACTCGCTTGTCGGCGCCACTTGTGGCCAGCTGCTGTCAAATCTAACCTCATTTCTTCATAACAATATCCCTCTGTATTTAAATTGCATGTAGCTCAGGATTAACTTATTTCAAGAATTTGTTATATCTGAAACATTAGAATTATCAACAAGAATTTTCAAACAGAATTTTTTTCATGAATTATTTCTGATTTTCTCAAATTGATTGTACAGCTGGGAAATCAGAGTTTTCTTCAACGTTCTCATTAGCGAAATCTTAGTGCACTATTCTTCAAAATATCTAGCCAATACACACATCTTTGGTAGCGTCAGTCTGCAGTATGCTTGCAATGCGAATCATTAGTAGCTCGTTGGCACCTCTTTGGAGCACCAATCAAAGCTAAGTCTTCTTTTTACATGAGTGCACATGAACAACAGGTTCTTATTGTCCATTTATTACAAAAGCTACGACATCATTCACACATACTTTTTCAAAATTATTTTCTTCGAATAACAGTTGCTAGATATTGTACATATCGAAAAATCGTGAAAACATATAACAATAGCCTATGACAAAGTAATGCCAGGTTCCAGTTTTAGACGCACAACTATTCATGCGTATATTTCCTTAATCGATATATTTAAACACGCGAAAGAACCTTTCTTATAAATGTCAAACAGGACCAATTTCAATAGCGTATTCACTTTTATCCCGTGCATTTAGTTGATAAATAGCCAAAGGCCACTCCATGGTAACAACAAATAAGTCACTTAATTGATAAACATTTTCATAAGACCCAAACAATCACACAATTTCCTATTATTCTCATAAGTTTATCTTCAGTGCCTACCAAAACTGGTCTTGCTAGCTTTTGATAGACTTTCTTGAAAGTCATATCTATAACCACATTCTGGATACAACGAATGACCCAGAACCTCCACTCAATTGCGTTGGACACCAGTTTTCAGTTCGTCTTGCATATGCAATGACAATAAATAAGTCTCAAGGCAAAACTTTTGATAAAGTTGGCCTCTATCTTCCAGAACCATGCTTTTCTCACTGTCAGTTTTATATAGGATCTTCAAGAGTAATGGAATCTAACGGTTTAAAAATTCAAGTAAAAGATACCACTAGATAGAGCAAAACGAATAATGTTCAAACAGTAACAGATAATGTTGTTTATCGAGAATTTTTTCTGTGAATTCCATATGTTTCATTTTGCGCGTTTATAACTTTAGTAATTGCCTTATATTTAATAATTCAAATACTAACCCAAACTTTTTATTAAATCAATTTTTTCTATATATATTAAAGGCCAATCCTTTACAGGGACCTCTAATGTAACTATACTATGCATCAGATTTATCAGGTAAAGTTTCTCTTAATGTTCAATAAAGTCTATTTTTATTTTTAAAATAGTTCACTAATGATCATTGTAAATTATTTTGAGCAAGCATTCTATAATAAGTACCACGTTGTTGTATCAGTTCTGTATGAGTACCACTCTCTACTATATGTCCTCTATTAAGTACACAAATTAAATCACATGAACAAATAGTTGAAAGACGATGAGCAATAATGAGTGATGTTCGACTAGAATCTTCCGTTTGAGCTTGTTCAAGAGCTTCTTGTACAATCTATATTTGAAAGGTGGAGATAAAATTTTACTTGATAAATGGAAAACAAAACAAACTTACTTGTTCATTATGCGAATCCATGGCACTTGTAGGCTCATCTAAGAGCAATACTTTTGGTTGACGAAGAAGAACTCGAGCAATAGCAATACGTTGTTTTTCACCACCGGACAGAAAACTGCCTTTCAACCCTACTTTTGTTTCATAACCCTGAAAAAATCATGCAATAGTAATATATATGATATAGTTTTGTATTGTTTAACTTGAGGTAATTGTTCAATAAATCGATGAATATTAGCTTTTCTCGCTGCATTGATAATGCCTTCCATTGGAACATTTTCTAGGCCATATGCAATATTCTCAGCAATTGTTAAATCGAACAAAATTGGTTCTTGACTGACAAGACCGAATTGAGAACGAATCCAATGTAGATTTAGTCGTCGAATATCAATGCCATCAATAAGCTGGAACAAGCCGAGAAATTTTATACGATTATTTATATTAAATATTAAAGCAATACTAACTAGTTGACCACTTGTAACATCATAGAATCGTTCCAATAGTTGAATAATTGTTGATTTTCCACATCCGGATGTACCTGTATGAATCATATTACATAATTAACATTTAAAATAAACATTTAATTCAAACATACCGACAAGAGCAATACATTGACCTTATCAGTGAATATAAATTTTAAAAAGAAATGATGAAATAAAATTCTATCTGACTTACTTCCCTTGATATTCAATTGAAATTTGTTAAGAATAACAGATGTTGGCCGAGCTGGATAGATGAACTTAACTTGATCGAATTTTATCTCTCCGCGAAAGTCAACCTAGACGAACAGTATTAAATCCATGGCATGTGCATGATAGAAACAAACTAACTATTTTCAATGTTCTCTTACTAATTCTTGTCCTTCAGTCGATGCATTGTCTACGATTGGTTTTCGATCAAATAAATCAAAAAACGTGTCAGCAGCCGACAGTGATGCAGCGATAGAACTAGATCTAGAATGAATATGGTAGAACAAGATAAAACATAAACTTGATATCGAGATTGTTACATCATTTGGATGACACCTAATGAGTGCATCGAAAAAGCAGCAAAAGCAAACACCCTAATAAATTGAACAGATAGTGAGACATTATCGGTAAATTATCAAAGTGTAGTTTCAATTACATTATGACATCGTTCGCAGTGAGTTCGTTCTTCTCAAAGAGATTAAGAGCACACCAATACACAAATGCCGAAGAGTATGCATCTAGTGCCCAGCATATACCACTTATTATTGAAAATAATATTGAAGGTTTCCAAAACAACCTATGACAAAATAAAATTGATTAAAAATTTCTACATGTATAAGATTCGATTGACCAACATAAATACTTGATGAATGAGTTCAGAATATTGTCGTAACACTTCTTTTTCAATTGACAATTGTTTTACTGTACGCATATTATGAACAACTTCAACAACAAGCTGCAGAAGTAAAAGATAGAATGAATGGGATGTATTTAATTTGATAAACAACTGATTATTAGACAAGTTTCCCTACAAAAAGAAAGTTTATGAGCTAAAGTCTAATCTTACCATGCTTGCTCGTCCATTAATTAGACCAGATTGCTGAGTCATCCACGAACGTAAACTCACTTCGCCATAGACGATTAGGAATACGAAAAACAGAGGAGCAAAAACAATCAATGTTAATTGCCAACTTACAAAACATCCAAATAGAATTCCAAAAAACGACAATGCGACAGCTTCACAGATGATTCCTAATCGCGTGCCAGTCATCTCTTGAACAGCTGATGCATCAGACGATAGACGAGCGCAAATCGCACCAGAACTATTTTCAGGTCGATCGAAATAAGCAACTTCTTGACGAAGAAGACATGCAAAAGCTTTCGAGCGGATACGCTGCGTCAATTTCGATCCTGCTATGGCAAAAGCTGTATACTATAGAAAAGAGCGTATAAACCGTTGATCAAATTCAGAAGCAGTATTTTTACTTGAAAGAAACGTAGAATCCATACAAGAACACCCAAAAGCAAAAAAAGCAAACTGGTAATCAACACATGCCGATGTCGTTCAGATGTTAAACAATATTTGAATGCCTACACAATAAACAAAGTGACGTAAAAGTCATATATATTGCCAGTATTCTTGCACGATATCTGTATGAATAAACGGCTCACTTCGACTAGTTTGGTGAGTAAAAATGCAAACAATGGTTGAGCTGCTCCATTAAGTACACATGCTATGCAACCAATCAAGATTGTGATCCATTCGGGACTATTCATTGACAAGAGTCTTAGAAGGACAAATGTTCGTCTGAATAGCTTTGAACTTTGCTAAAAGAGAGATTATCATTGATGGTTTTTAAACACAATTGCAGTAGTATTTATACTTTGTTCACATCAGCAGTTTGGTTATCGCTAAGTAAACGACAGCGTTCAACTGTTAATAAAAAAAGTGAAAACTATTACTATTAGAATTCTTAACATACATATCGACTTTTTATCTTCTTCTGTCGCTTTTGGTATGCTCATCATATCATCCTGATCATCATTGATTCTTTCCATTTGTTGACGTTTAACCATTGATTGATATTTGCCTCCTTCTTTTGCCATTAATGTTTCATGTGTACCTTGCTCAATCACACTTCCATTATCTAATACATATATATGATGAGCATTTTTAATTGTAGTCAAGCGATGAGCAATAACAATGGTTGTACGACCTATACAGAATGTTATAGCAATTCATTAAGCAAAAAAAAAACAATTGTCACCTTTGCATGCTTGATCGAGTGCTTCTTGAACAATTTTTTCATTAACATTATCAAGTGCACTTGTTGCTTCATCCAGTAAAAGAAAAGTAGGCTGTTTGTTAAGAGCACGAGCTAATGCAATACGTTGTTTTTCACCACCACTCAATTGTATACCACATTCACCAACAAATGCTTCATATTTCTAAACAAGAAATAGTAATACATATATGTAGATAGATGTAAATATTTGGCGCGGACATCTGGTAATTGCATGATGAAATTATGTGCATTTGCTTCTTGTGCTGCTTGTTCAATTTCTGCTTGTGTTGCATTTACTTTACCAAAACGAATATTTTCATAAATACTCATACCAAACAGAATCTATTACAATATTGAATTAAAATGTAAGGAAGAAAAGAAAAACGAAAAAACAACATACAGGTTCTTGACTAACAACTCCAATGTTTTGTCGAAGTTGTTTGACATTGTAATCTGTTATTGGTCGACCATCGATCATTATTCGACCCGACGATGGTTCATAGTAACGAAGAAAAAGTGATATACATGTACTTTTTCCTATAAATAAATTATGAACACAAATAAGGTTACTTTAAGATTTTTATTTTTTGAAAATACTTACCACAGCCACTTGAACCTACGAGAGCAGTTGTCTGACCAGCACGAGCAATAAGAGAGAGATTACGCAGAACTGGTACATCTTTTCGAGATGGATAACTAAAGGTGATATTGTCAAATTCAATATCGCCATTGATATTATCAATAGCTTCTGTATCTTCTTTCCATACATCTATTTCATTGATACTTGCATCATTTCCCTATATCATTTAAACAAATACAGAATGTGGATGTTAGTATGAGACATCAATTTACTCAGATTTACCTCGTCAATAAGTCGAAACACCGATGCTGCTGCACCTCGAGCTTCTGAAAATGATTGAAAGAAAGGACCAATAGAACTGAAGTACTTCAAGCATTGTGCAAAGAGGGTGACGATCTGCATTAAGATAGTAATCTCATATTTTATTTTCTTCTCGACTGATTATATGAATTACTCACAGCAAGAATATCACTAATATCCAATGTATGATCAGCTTTGTGTGACATAAGAAGAGAACCAAAGATAAAACCAACTGAATAAACTAGATAGGTCATCAGAGATAACCATCCAGTATAAATCCCAAAAACTGCACCTTTGCGTATACTACTCCAACGAGTTGGATACAATTCTCTGTCATATCTAAATACAATAAAAATAACAACATATTGTATGTTATTATATAGGCGCACTATTTTTTCTATATTCATTTACCGTTTTTGCTCAAACTTATTACCATTGAGGGAAAGAATAGTTCGTAATGAACTAAACACTTCTTGTACGATTTGTCCTGCTTTCGAATATATCATTAACTCATTCATTGCTTCTTTAGCGGTGAGCTATAATAATTCATAGACATTTAATTGATTGAACAACATTTCATACCTGAGAAAACATAAATGAGCTACCAATGACCAAAGGTATCAAACATAGCATAATCAAAGTCAACTGCCAGTTGACAATGAAAGATACTATTAAACAACCAATTATGCACGGTAATGTTGACATCAGTATTAAGAATTCAAAACCAATGCCTTTTTCAATCTTTTCAATGTTACTGATAATAATTAAATCAGATGACGTTATTTGATATAAAATATCATAATGACTTACTCAAACAGTTTAGCATTGAGTTGACTAGCCGATTTGGCATCCATATAAGGAATGCTCTAAAAATAGAGAGAATGAGAAACAGTCAGAGATGGGTACATATGCTTGAATATTACTGTGACTCGACTCTAATTTCCCAATTTCGACTTCATCTGTATGTTCCTAACTACAATTCAATATCAAATTTATATTTGTTTTTGAAAATTCTACTGCGATTCTGGCCGTAAAAAGTCATGCTCCACCTGATTGTCTTATAAAATGTTGAATTCTTTTAAATTCGCTTCTATAACCTGTGTTTTTTCTTTCAACTTTTTTTGTTTTCATTCGACATGTCCAACAGAAGTTTAATCATGATCGATAAAAATCTATTACTTCAAACTCCACTAGAACTCTTATTTAAGTCAATACCAACTCTACTCATACTGCATTCATCAAATATCAAGTTCTAGTATAAAAGCAACCTAACATGCAAACTACTCCAGATGCCCTATTTGAATTCAGTGACTTTTTACTTATACATACTAGACAGTATTGTATTGGAAAATCTAACGAGGGAATATATCTAACTATCGAACACCGTTTGGGTTCACGTTATGGATACGAATATGCCTCGATGAAAATAAGAAAAGCTTAAAAAGATATGGATTCATGACCTACTATTGAAGAGTTATGACCGTTTTAATTATATGTTAAATAAGAGCAAAACGTTCTGGAAAAATCTAAAACAAAGATTTGTACGCTGAAATTATGCCTATTGGCTCGTTTGAGAGTGACTAGATAATCCTGAAAATTTCTACGAAAACAAACATATTTTTCTTGAGATGGTCAATTTTCAACTGAGCTCGGTTGCTATATCCTCCTATCGTAAATCGTTCTTTTTTTGGATATTGAATATTTCGAGAAAGACATGCTTGTTTTCGTTGAAATTTTAAGAACTATTCAATGATTATCAATCGTGTCAATAGACGTAACTTCAACAGGAAACTTTTTATTTTAAATCTTTTAGAAATATGTTGTTCTCAGTACTTAAAAGTTTCATTAAAATGGCCATAACTCTTCAATAATAGGCTCTGCGTTTCAATCATTTTAATTTCTTCTTAGTCTCACTGAGACCTACTTGTAGTCATAATGTGAAGTGCTACCGTATCTGACAGTTGGAAATATTGCCTCGTAAGAAGATTTCAGCTCTTATTGAAACCTGGTGTAGTTATTGGATTTTTAATATTTCTATATGTCAGAGACTCCTGTAAGACCCCGCGTCTTCTAAAAAATCGTGCCTTTGAATTTTTGTCCTCAAACGATCTCTATTTGGAATTTTCATATGCATTAGCTTGTATGAAATATTCGAACGTTTGTTGATTTCGCATTTTCGAGATACAAGCTTTTTAAAAACAGAAGCTTTTCGAAGCATATTGCAAGATACGAAATATACAAACACTGAAACTCTTCATACAAGATGCTCTATATGAGATCTTCAAATTGAGATGGCTTCAAGACAAAATTTAAAAACACGATTTCTCTAGCAACCAGAAGCCCTACAATGGTCTCTGGCAAACAGAAATTTTAAAAGCTTAGTACCTTCCCCCCTGCAAATCTCAATAGAAAATGAAATTCTTTTGAATTTTCCACAAGAATACTATGTAGTATCTATAGGCAAAAAATAATCACTGAAATCGATAGGGGACATCTGAAAAGATTTCCTTATAACACGAATCACTTCAACGTCAATTTTCGTAGATGAAAGTATCTGTTTGAGTTGAAGTGTCGCATCTCTGTACATAGTAAAATGGTTTCTTTACACAGTGATCTAGGGAATATTTAGTATAATGGAAATATCTATATCAATGCGTCAATATTTCTTTAATATCATTTTAAAATTACACCATCTAAACTTCATTTTGCCAAAAATATTTTTTATTTTAGCATTTATGAAGCTGTATCAATAATGGATTTGTCTGTCTTCATTATTGTAAAGTCATCATATACTAAAGTTAAAAGTTTCTAATAAAAAAATAAATAATCATGATTGCTCTATAAAATTGCAAAATGATTATATTTGTATCAGCTTCTCAGAAAGCATTTGGTTTGTAAATGGTAACGAGATTGAGCTTGCACTTGTACTCTTGTCCTAAATCCTTGATTTTAGGTCCAAAAGCTCGAGGAATAGAGGCATATCTAGATAGAAATGGATATTATCTAGATATTTTAGCTTATTTCATAGACTTGCTAGAGTTGCTAATTTGTAAATGGTGAGGATTTCTTAAAAAGAAAACGAAAAAGATATTATTAATCTATAGTAATTCTAAGAAAAGACTAGGAATTAACTTTCGGAAAATATATTTTTTATAAGTGGAAGTGTACTTGACTTACACGTTGAAGTATTGATCGAAAGAGAGAAACACGCATACGAAGTGTCTGCCGTTTCGCACTAATGTTCCAGATAAAACCTTCAAGCAAGCCAGCCAAAAATTCGACAGCACCAATAACTACACTGACAGAAAAAATAAGACAATTTGCATTATTTGTAATAATCAAATTCGTGCGTTCATTTCACTTACTGAATAACCAATAAACCATGTTCATAATTTTTTCTCGAAATAAAGGCATTGACGTTGCTAAGGTTGATGATAAAATTACACCCATTGTATGGCGCAATCTAAGATGAAAAATACCACGGGAAAATAACAGAATTACATGTGAAATAATAATAGTTTTTAGTAAATCACTTATATGACGAATCATTGTTGAACATATTGAGTTCTATAGCTTGAGAGTATGTATTATTGTTCTTCATTAAAGTTGTTGAATTTTGGTGTTGATAATCACAATTATCACCAAAGGCTTCAGTAACAAAAATTCCTGTGAGTCGACCAAAAATAACTGGAATAACGAGAGCGCAAATCGTGTCCATCACCGCTAAACACGCAGCAACAAACATCAGGACAAAATCTATACTATTTGCAAACTGAAACTACAATGAAATCGAATATATCAGTGAGTTTGTATTTCGTGTGAATACGCTTACTAAACGGAAAACACCAACTACTTCATCTTTGTCACTATGTTCAACATCATCATCTAATTTTATATATTTGTTATCTTTCCATTTTCTACTGAAACATCGGCACCAATCAAAAAAACTATAATAAATGATAAATTCATCGTATTTTTCTTACAGTCAATCGTTCATTGGATCATACCTATTGGTCAAAAGTTGTTTCTTGCTTCCATTGTCATCATCATCATCAATAGAGAATTTACTGGATGCGTTTAGCAGAGGTTGTTTATCATCCATTTAATATTTTTATTGATAAGACTATTATGAACAACGCTCAAGGACAACCATGTGCAAATATGTGCATAAAAAAATGAGTCGTTATCATTACTTGCATACTAATCTGTTTCTTTTCTTTTTTTTTTTTTGCTTTTATTCGTGAAACGAAAAGGTTTGTGCAACCAAGCGATTATCGAATCACGATAAACATAAATGCAAGTCGATGTCATTAATTTTTTCTAGGACTATTGAAAGATAGAGACATCTATATGATACTCGTCTGCTCATACTGTGAAGAAAAAGGAGTAGAATACTAAACTCTTTGAGGGTAATATGAAAAGCATATATCCTTAAAGGGTTTCTAATACGTTGCTCACTTTACACCAACCTAAAAAAGAGAAATGCATAAATTTATTCAAAGAATAAAACTTACCATTTATTTGCTTATCTGATAAATCTAAATAAAAAAAAGGGTGTGGGTGTGAGTGTAAGTGTCAGTGGAAAGAAAAACACCCACACCCATAACCACGTTAGTAGTTTCTTTTCATTTTCTTCTAGTGTTTCTATCATATTAATCATTCACATTAGCTGACATCATCATCGAACGTTGGATTTCATATGGACCACAAGCTAGACGACGTACCATTGTTCAACGTGCTGCTACTGTTCGACCATATCCAGCTCCACGCAATATTATTATCCAATACGAAACAGCTCCAGTTCGCATTGTCCATCAATGCCATCGTCTTGGTGTTGTCCAAGCTAATTCAGCTGTTTACATTCAAACATACAGCGCTACTCTTCTTGATGCTGCTTCACTTGTTGCACAAGCTCGTGCTGCTGGTATTGTTGAAAATATCGTATGTTGGTCATAATATTCTTGGTTTTTTGTTTCAATAACCATCTTGTTCTTTTTATAGTCACCTTCCGGTTATGTTAGTTATAGTGCAACCGGATACAGTCAAGAATCATTCGGTGCTTCATCAGGCTTGGCAGGTGGTGCTGGTCTTATTGCTGGAGGTGCTGGCCTTGTTACTGGAGGTGCTGAAGTTGTTGATGCTGGTCTTGCTCTTGGTGGTAGACTCAGGTCATCATCATTCGAATCATCAAGCTTCTCATCTGGTGTTGATGGTGAAGCTAATGCTGCTTTCCTTGTTGCTGATACCAACCTTATTGATACCTTTGATCAAGGAGAATTTCATCAATTCCCTGGTAAATATTTCTTCCAATGAACGTTATCATTTTATAGATATGATTATTAAATTGTATACATTCATAACTAGGTCAAAATGCTGAAGGAGCCGGCGGTGCATCATACGAATCATACAGTTTATCATACTCCTATTAAAAGCTTTCAATAGCTAATCAAAAAATCAAAGATACGAAAACTACAGCGGTTCTAGCATGAAAGAAATATTTTTGTACTTAGTGAAATCTAGTTTATGCTTTTCTTTCCTTTATTTCCTTCTAATTGCTTATTTTAATTTGAATTATGGTAGACTTTCGCTTGTTTTTCTGTATCGGTGTGATGTCATTATGTATTTTTTTCTTTGATTTTTCATAATTTCATATAAAAGTTAATGAACAAAAAAAGACCATGTTTATTTGCTCTATTCAATAAGCGTTAAAGAATTGAAAGACAAAAGCTTGTTAGAGCAGACATATGATGTTAAAATGTTGAATATATGTATTTACTATAAACTAACAGATTATTTCGTATAAAAACGTGTTCAGTAGAATAATATATTATCGATTCATTAAAGAAAATAAAATATAGCGTAGCGCTTGTTTGAACTTCATGACAACATCAAGATGAAGAAGAGCTGAAAAACATTGAATTATGATTGTAATCATCGATTTCATATATGAGATCCACAGTGCAGTTATCAATATATATCATAAACAGCATGTGCGATGAAGTATGATATTATTTAATGTTACTTTTTTTTTATTGAGCTTACAAAGAAAAAAAGGAAAACTTTTCGTCTAGTTGAGTATACAACAGGGTACGACAATAGCCACAATGTATATTTACATTATATTTTATTTTGTAGATATAGACGTAAATAACATAACTAAAAAAATCTATATACAGATAGGATTTTTTTTGTAAATTTTTTCTAGTTCTATTTTTAAAATAGAACTCGTAGATGTATCAATAATATATGCTAAACTTGCTGCAATAAAACCATGAATATGATAAACAAATCTAAATCAACATTCTTTTTTCTTCCATAGTTCTTAATCGAAATTCATCCATCGGTACCTCTTGATATGTTCATCATGGTAATATTCGTAAAAGTGTATGTCAACCTTTTTCTAAACATGTTATAAATAATACTAAATTCGATACTGGCAATCAATATTGACTGATTTATTTTGATAAAAGTAAGCCTAATTATATGAGTAAATGAATATCATTTGAATTCAATTGAAATTTATTTTCTATAATATTTTTATCAATTAATAAACGGCTATTGCTAATCAATCTGTGATTATTTAATAGAAATGAATATAATTAGTGGCATATGAAGATAATTAAAAGAAAAATTTTTTTATCCTTCAACAAAAAATTTTAATGCATTTAAAGTTGATGATGACGGATTTTTTTTTTATGAATCATTTATTGTTTTATTAAATATCGATTTAAAAATAAATATGAAAATTTCATAAATCTACATCAACATCATTCGGTGATAGAATACTAATACTTAAACAAGTATATTCAGCAAGAAAAATTTTTCAACAATATATTATCTATCTCTATGGACTCCGACAGAGTAATATTAATTAGTTCAGAAAGTTAGCATTTAATTACTTTAGTTTTTCGAGTTGATCATATGGCAATTCTGTCAAATCAAAACATGATCCTTGATCAGAATATTATAATCATTTATTTGCACAAAAATCAGAAATTGCTTTCTTTAGAATATTGAACAACGTATTGTAGCCATTAAAAATTTAAGAAAAGTTTTATGTTAGGGAATCTTCTAAGTCTTCTTATTAATTTCGCTCAACATCCTTAATCCCTGATACCAAAGTCTGTAATGGGAGCGTCTGGATGCTGAGGCCTATCTGTAACGGAGAGAGGAGGAGCGAGTGGCAAAAACTTCGACTTAAAACTTAGAATTACTATTTTCTCCGGAAATATATGTGAGTTTCACAAAATAATGCTCATATAGTTAGCAAAAACAGCTGAATTGTGTTGTATATTTTAATTCCATAAGGGTTGCTCTAACAGTTTTTTTGTCTTTGAAATAAGCTTGAGCGTAATCATCACATATCATAACGAACAACTTTTATCGAAACTCTATTATTAAGATATTATTTGAAGAATGATAAAATACAGAGTACTATTTTTGCTATCAGTACATGTAGAGAGAAAATTTCATCCATTTTTCTATCCAGTATTGAAGTGCTTCTGGAACTAGTTTCGTAGAATTTATTAATAGAAATGTTTTCTTTGAAGAGGGATATGTTCCTTTAAGGGCACAAACAACATTAACTACAACTAGTTTATGTAAGTCATTCCAGAAATATTACCTGAATTTATTATTTATTATATTTTTCAGGGCAACAACATTCGATTGTTCCAACGAGTGCACTATTAATTCAACCATTAACATTAATAAATAATTTTGATAAATATTGGTGTACTACAACTTATTATGAACCTGATATTCAAGTTGGTGAAACATTTAAAATCCACGATACATATAAAGAAGTGACTATTGATGGTGGAACGGATATGGCTATTTCAACAATAACACTAAAGAAAAATGGTAAAGTATTTTTTTTTTGTAAATTACATTTTGGTAAAGGTATTCGTGTTGAATATCGAAATGAAGGTGATGTATGAATACAATGTAATAGTAAACAAACCGTTTTTCTTCAATCATATTATCTTGGTAGTGAAGCTGGTCGTGCACCAGATGATGCTGTTCATAAAATTTATCGACAAGCTTGTATAAAAGTATTTTAAAATAAAAGATTTTTTTTTTTGCAAAATTAATTTCTTATGTAGTTGATTTACAACAATGTTTTTCTCAAATGGAACAATATGTTAAAATGACATTACATGCTCGAATATAATAACAAATTTATGGTCAAACAAGATCATCATCAGCTAGTTTAAATGTTGATGATTTAAGCTGTTTATGTGTATAAAGTTTTAGTTTTGTAAAAGGATGGTGACTGGATTATTCAAGATGAGATTTTTATTAATTGAAAATATTGATTGTTTTCTTTTGGTTTGTTTTTTTGTATGTATTATTTTTAGATAATCAATAAAAGAAATTCTATGTTGGATTGAAATACAAATTTATCATGCACTTAAATTACTTGATGATTCATTTAATTAAATGAATTATCAAGTAAATGTTACAAGTTTATCATCAAATTCGTTCATACAAAGTAACAACAGTAGTTCATCTCATTTAATGATATCAATTGAATCTGAATTGACATGTTCGTCACAACATAGTTAATTAGAAAAGAATCATAATCATTTCTTTTTTTTTTTTTGTTTTATTTATTTTGAAAGGCACATTTTTTGCACAGATATAAATGCTTTCTATATATTGTCGTATCTATTGATGCATTACTTTTGTTTTGTGTGTATTAAAACAAAAAAAAAATTATATGTATAGAAAGAGATATTTAGCCAGCTTTTTTTTAATGTGTAACTCACAGCGTGACTAGTTGTGTCCTTGTAGATATTATTGTCGATTTGATTATTCTTGTTGTTAGTTTTTTTTTAATCTTTTCTATAGATAACATATTTTGATGTTGCTTAGGTGCTATCAACCGATTGAAATACACATTCATCCACATTTGTTTTTAATGTAAACGATACTTTGTTTTTTTCTTTTTTTTTTGATTAAGCAGTTCAAGTTTGAGTACATTATGGAGAATTGACTTGATCAATGATATATATATATTGTTTATAGATAAATATCTGATTTTAGATTTTATTTTTATTAGTTTTGTATTTAAAAAAGAATATGTCGATTGATTGGATGTACTTGATACAAAATGAGATCAAGTAGCTGATTGGATTCGAAATGCAAAACATTGTATTGTATTTACAGGTTAGTAAGTTATAAATCACTATAATAATGTATTCAAATGATATCATATTAACTGGTTCCAAAAATTTTCGATTTCATGTTCGCATAATAAAAATTACATCATTCGAAAGAGTGTGAAAAACTGAGTTAGATGATATCATTTTTACGGAGACGTACTCCCAAGTTCTCAGCAAAAATTTTTAAAAAACGTTTCTAAGACAAAATAGCTGGGATATATATGAGCATGAGCAGTCGATCTGGTACCCCAAGATACAGAATAGGAATCGATATTATTCC